GTAGAGATCTTAAGCATGAATTCAACCCTAGTTTTACTAGAATTAACAGCATGGCAAGCCAGTTTCTAGTTCAATACAAATATGGCTGAGATTCCCAGTTATTTCCTCTAGATTATCTCCTCTTCCAGGATACAGTTGACCCTTACTCCTCTAGCTTCCATAAAGGCACTAAAAACTTGGTTTTCTCCCCAGGCTTTGGGACTGGGTTGACTGGAGTTACTGTCCAGAAAAGGGTGTCAATGTGACTTTGAGGTTGCCCATTACTTTGTAGGATTTTAACCAAAATTATCTTGTTTTATAGCCCAAAATTGCAATGTTCAAATGAGATGGCTATATAATTTTTTAAAAGAAATAAATTACTACAGTAGTGGTTGACCAAACTGTTGGGCTCAAAGTTGGTTGCAGACTATCACATGCATGATAGGACAAAGTTAACTAAGGAAATTTTTTATGCAGACTATGAAGAAGACATTGAAACAGTTGATTATACTCTTGTCAACCTTAAAGTGCAATTCTTACTTAAAACTGCTATAGCTTAATTCTGATCCTTTGCTTGTCTGCCCTTCCTATAGTTTAACAGATTTTTGCCTTGCACTTCTAGGCCAAGATCTGTTCATTGTTGACATAAGTGACATTTTTACTCTGAAATTCCTGATTTTCAAACTAACTCTGGTTCTAAGATAGTGATATGTTATCCTAATTCTGATTGCTCTTCAATATACAGGTGAAACTTGAAAAATTAGAATATCGTGCAAAAGTTCATTTGTTTCAGTAATGCAATTTAAAAGGTGAACCTAATATATGAGATAGACTCATTACATGCAAAGTAAGATAGTTCAAGCTGTGATTTGTCATAATTAAGATGATTATGGCTTACAGTCTCATGAAAACCCCAAATCCACAATCTTAGAAAATTAGAATATTGTGACAAGATTCAATATTCTAGGCTCAAATTGTCCCACTCTAATCAGCTAATTAAGCCATAATACCTGCAAAGGGTTCCTGAGCCTTTAAATGGTCTCTCAGTCTGGTTCAGTAGGAAGCACAATCATGGGAAAGACCGCTGACCTGACAGTTGTGCAGAAAACCATCATTGACACCCTCCATAAGGAGGGAAAGCCTCAAAAGGTAATTGCACAAGAAGTTGGATGTTCCCAAAGTGCTGTATCAAAGCACATTAATAGAAAGTTATGTGGAAGGGAAAAGTGTGGAAGAAAAAGGTGCACAAGGAGCAGGGATGACCGTAGCCTGGAGAGGATTGTCAGGAAAAGGCCATTCAAAAGTGTTGGGGACTTTCACAAGAAGTGGACTGAGGCTGGAGTCAGTGCATCAAGAGCCACCACACACAGACGGATCCTGGACATGGGCTTCAAATGTCATATTCCTCTTGTCAAGCCACTCCTGAACAACAAACGTCAGAAGCGTCTTACCTGGGCTAAAGAAAAACAGAACTGGTCTGTTGCTCAATGGTCCAAAGTCCTCTTTTCTGATGAGAGCAACTTTTGCATCTCATTTGGAAACCAAGGACCCAGAGTCTGGAGGAAGAATGGAGAGGCACACACTGCAAGATGCCAGTGTGAAGTTTCCACAGTCTGTGTTGATTTGGGGAGCCATGTCATCTGCTGGTGTTGGTCCACTGTGCTTCATTAAGTCCAGGGTCAACGTAGCCATCTACCAGGAGATTTTGGAGCACTTCATGCTTCCTTCTGCAGATGAGCTTTATGGGGACGCTGACTTCATTTTCCAGCAGGACTTGGCACCTGCCCACACTGCCAAAAGCACCAAAACCTGGTTCAATGACCGTGGGATTACTGTGCTCGATTGGCCAGCAAACTCGCGTGACCTGAACTCCATAGAGAATCTATGGGGCATTGCCAAGAGAAAGATGAGAGACATGAGACCGAACAATGCAGAAGAGCTGAAGGCCGCTATTGAAGCATCCTGGTCTTCCGTAACACCTCAGCAGTGCCATAGGCTGATAGCTTCCATGACACGCCACATTGAGGCAGTAATTGCTGCAAAAGGGGCCCAAACCAAGTACTGAGTACATATGCATGCTTATACTTTTCAGAGATCCGATATTGTTCTATGTACAATCCTTGTTTTATTGATTGCATGTAATATTCTAATTTTCTGAGATTGTGGATTTGGGATTTTCATGAGCTGTAAGCCATAATCATTTCAATTATGACAAATCCCGGCTTGAACTATCTTACTTTGCATGTAATGAATCTATCTCATATATTAGGTTCACCTTTTAAGTTGCATTACTGAAACAAATGAACTTTTGCACAATATTCTAATTTTTCGAGTTTCACCTGTATATAGCCTGGTAGTGGTAAGAATTTTTTGAAGCTGCTTATTGGTTGATGAACAGTAAAATTGCATGCTGTCCATCCTAAGATATAAGTCATTTACTATTGAACAATCCATAATATATTAAGCTCAGTAGATCACATGACCATATCCAAAGCTGTGGGAAGAATGTTAATATCCACTCATCCTACTCTCTGGTGGCTTCAACAGGAAAACTTGTTATTTTTCTAGATTGTTAGGAGTGAAGTGTTTAATTCCCGATTCTTTGATCTTCTGAAAGAAGACACTTTCTCAAAAGATCAAAGAGCAACATTATGATTGCCAAGGAGTTCTAGTGCTAATGTAAATGGCAAAGTAAAAAAGGCCTTAGATGCAGGACCTCTATTTATGTTCACATACAAACACCGACTAAGGTCAAGAATAATTTACAATAAAACAAATATTAGTTTTAAAGGCATCATGGGATCAAATTCTTTTGTGGAAAATTTCTAAAAGGACAGAGATGGGAGTTCTGCAGTAAGTAGATTTCTTGTAGTTCTAATTAATTACTTCAACATTTAATTTGCAAAAATTGCACTGGTTTCTAATTAACTTTTAAGAAGATTTAAGCTTAATTGTTGACATATATATCCCTAAACCACATGGGATAAGGATATGTAATAGAACAGTGGTTTCTCAATCTTGGCAGCTTGAAGATGAATAGACTTCAACTCACAGAAATTCCCCAGCCAGCGCAGCTTTGTTAATCTGTGGTGGCAAAAAATCAGGAGATGGATACTGTAATGGGAAACAAGAAAAAGAACCAAAGATTAGACCATGGCACTGAATGGGGATGTAGCAGAAGAGACCCTCCCTAATTTCTTGAAATGCAAAGGCGAGGGCAGAAGAGATGTGGTTACAGACTCACAGTAATGTCAACCTTATGAGATAGTCCAAACAAGAAGCACACCCTAAAATACTAGCTTTAAATTTATTGTAAGGTTACACTGATAGAATCTTGCAAAACTGAAAATACATCTCTACCACCACTTGTGCATTCCAAGAAACTGAGGAAGGGTCCCTTCTGAAATTTTTGCCATGCCTCCATTCCTTCTACAGAGACTGAGAGCCTCTTATTTGACCACAGTGTAATCTGCAGCTCTTCCTCTTGTCCCAAGGATCTTTTTCCATACCATTACCGGTATCTAACTTCATCAACTGCATGTAATGGCTAGACTGATACAGACCTCAAAGTGACTGTCTTGGAAAAGCAGAACTATTACTAGATCATTAATCAAAAAATAGTTGAATTCACACACATCAAAAGATTACATGCAATCCCAAAAGAGCTCAACAAACAAAGGCTTTCTAGCAAAGAAAAATGTTAATCGATGAGGTACTGGTAATCTCTCTCTCCACGCACACCCGTTTTTGAGTACGCTGCCAGAGCTGCCTGTGGCGATAAAGACATACAAAAAAAGGTTTTATCAAAGTTTTATAAACCTATGCATATATTGGTAATTTTAAAAGGTGGGATTCCTCAAGCAGCAGTAATTGCTCATTACATCCCCACCCTCCGCTAATCACCAATAGGTCCTACTCTAACAAATATAAGGAATTTGTATGTGTTTGTGTACATATTCAGAGAGAGGGAGGGAGGGAGGGAAAGGTTGGATCAAATAATTCAAATCATTTTTAAATGGCACACTTCATAAATGATCTCAGAAAGGTTTGAGATCTTATTTCAAAAGTATAATTAAATACAATCTTAAAAGAGTTAAAACTTTTAAAAATCCATTCAGGTTGATCTAGATTCTTTCATGGATACATCCATTACATTTTCTTGCCAACAATATGGACCTGGTTTGTATTTGCTTGTTTTTTAATCAGTTTTTCAGTCTGGCTTATGCCAGTGAGATTTCCAACTGGTATTCCATTGACACTAATTCTGAAGCTGGAAAGGAGAACGGAAGAAGGCCACAAACCAGATTGCCCCAGCCATTCATATAGGGAAGGTTTAGGTGAAAACAACATAAGAAAGAAAGCCGTCCTATGAAAGTAGGCCTAGCCAGAAAGATGCAAGACTTTTGCCGTCTGAATGTTACAATATGACTTTCTTAGATCACCTAATTAACAAATTGTATTAAAGGGCTTATGCTTTTGAGGCTCAGTTCTCTTCATCAGCTATACAGACTAACATAGAATTTAAACTGGGATAAGGTGAGGAGGAAATGAAGATAGGTTGGTTAAGCAGGTTACCTATGAGACAAAACAACTGTTCCTCAGCATGATTTGATCTGGAAATATGTAAACCACGCGTTTCCTTATGGGGTTTGTCGAGGCAGAGAATAAACATGGATTAAGCCTGTGCGAGGATCCTCTGCGAGGACATCCCTCCATTCATCCAGATCTCAAGCAGCTCGGGCGAAATTTCGTCAGGGAGCCGGTGAGTCAATGCGGAGTGTTTCTCCCGAAGGGAAAAGAAAGGCGGGCGGGCGTGCTGGAACCGAGGCCTTTGAGGCTGGGACGTCATTTACTCGAAAACAGATCCATTCGGAAGACCCACGCCGGGGCGCTGTCGCTCTGCTTAACCCGGGCCCGGCCCTTCTGTGGCGGCGTTGCCGCCGAGAAGGCGGGACCGAGAGGGCGGGACTCCGGAGAGGAGGTGGCCACGGCGGCGGCTCATCTGTCTGGTGTGGCCCGGCCCGGCGCGGGTTCGAGCGACGCGCTAGGAAGCGGGTGAGGCCGAGCAGCTCTTGCCGAAGCTGACCAGGCCGTACTTGAGCGGCGGGCCGACCGCAGAGCAATTCGGCGGGCCTCCGCTGATATCCGCCCGGCCGAGCGAGGTGGGACAAAGCGGGACCTCATTCTTCACCATTGTGCACCCCGATTCGGCTTGGAAGAGGTGAGACGCCCCGCCGCCGCTGCGGGATCCGGGCCTGCACACGAGGTTGCGGGGCGGGTAAGCGGAGCCTCCTTGATCACTTCGACCGCGGCTGGAAGAGAAGGGAGGTGTCTCGCTTCAGTGAGAGAGAGAGAGAGAGAGAGAGAGAGGCCTCCCCGTGGTGGACCTTTGGGCGAAGAAGACGAGGAAATTGAATGCGTGGGTCTTGGGAAAGCCGAAGGCTGCAGGATCAGAGGATAGGGAGGGAAATAGACGGCGAAGCCAGGGAAGTATCTCCAAGTCTCCTGTGTAGAGACTGAACAAATCTCTCCACTGCGTAAGATGCAGACTGTACTTGCACAAGGCAAACTATGGTTAAGTGAGCCATGGTGTTTACCCAACTTTGCAGAGCAGAGTTGGTCAGTAAAATAACTATATTAGCTGACTAGGTTGGTGCAATATACAGGAACAGAAACTAGTCAACTGCATTCTAGTTTAGCATGTTGTATGACTACATGCAGAGCTGCAGACCTGGGACAACTGCACACCTCTTTCTCAGACTTGTTCATGACTGATACACTTCTGCTTTGTGGTGAAGGCTGAAGGAAGCATCCCTGACATCAGGCTTGAGCCATTTCAGTTATCAACTAGGCTTGGTAACCAGAAAAGTTCCCTTGCTCCAAGGGAAACAGTGGAGGGGGAGGCCAGTGGCTTCCTTTGGCACCTATTGCTAATTTTAAAGAGTGAAAAATAACCAGAAGTTCATCAGCTTCTGATATGAGGCCTTCCCCCAGCTGAAATGCTATTTCCATATCTTGGATGCTGTAGAACTGTATATGAAATTTGCTGTCCTCAATTCCGGTCCTTATATTGCTTCTGTTTGCCGTTATCTGACATCTCTCCAAGACAATGTCTGACAAAGTCTGACAGATTTTATATATTTAGGCAGTGCTGGGATTGGGGAATGGGTAGGGATGCTGTTTTAAACTAGTGTAGGTAAGGATCACTTAAGGCTGTTGCACTCATGAGATGGAAAGGATATGAAGCTAATATAGTAAAGGTACAGAATTTTTATATTTGCCAGAACAGGTTTGTACATAGGAAAAGATCCTCAAATTGGTTCTGATGCTGCTATATTATCTGGTCATTAACAACATCTGTAGCTTTAAGTTTGCTTTGAAAAGATCTAACTCCTTTTATGCAAATTTCCTGAGTCAGAAGCCTACTGTTTACAATGTTATCTTTGGCATCCCTTTCATATAATTAATAAAATACAGTAACGTTTTAAAGGGATTCATGCTAAATCAATTAATTCTGGAATGACAGGGAAATGTTTGTTGCAGATTTGTTAACAGAGGCTGGATAACAGATCCTGTTATAAACAAACTGATACTGGACATCCATGCTGTTCCATGAAAAGCTGGATGCTGCAGTATACATAAATGCGTTAAGCAAACAAGGTTGCTTACATTAGCTTATTGTCCCAAATTCAGCTCCGGATACTGTGCAAGTTTTATTTGATAGATTCCTGAAGTGCAATTTCACTTGCCTCAGCAGTGTGGCAAATACTTAACTGACGAGAAAGAACTAAAATTTAATGGTGCATATTGTGGAGATGGCTTTTAGGAGATTGTTTGGTGCATTGTCATCTTGCCAATTCTTTTGTTTCTGAAAACTGTTCGCTGTTGGATTCTGTGGGTATCAATCCTAGACATCTGTCCTTGTAAGCTTTGCTTCTTATCCTTCTGTTTGTATGTTTAAGTTATAGATAGCTTGACTACTGTTACCTCTTTCCCCTTTGCATACTTCCTCCTTATGTTCAGGTTCCCTGGCAGGATCAAAGATATTTATGCCCCAGATATCCAAGTAGGATTATAATTTATATTTGCATGCTACAATTGAAATCCTTCCCTACTGAACAATAGCTTTTGAAACCTCATATTTAGTATTGTTTGAATAGTCATTTAAATATGTGCTTTAATAATGGAAATGGTAATGAAGATATCCAGTTCTACAAAAAAATTAAGTGGAAGATACCTGCAGATAATTGATGAGAAAAAAATAGCCTTGGAGCATTTGCAAAGGAGAAGTGCATTATTAATGTGGCTTTTGAGGAGTGGAATATGGATGGTATGCAGGGGGGCTTTCCTTAGAGTTTTTGATGCAATTGTTACTGTTTTGACCTAGAAGGCATATTGAGAAGGGTTTTTTTTAGATTGGAATATCTACCTTCACCCTTCCCATTTGAGTTGCAGATATTGTTAATGAAGATAATATCCACCAGACTGAAGGTTTTACATCTTTTGAAAATATTCTAATCCATAATGCTATGATGCTATAGTTTGCAAATGTTAAAATCAGCGTGAATGGACACAAGAAATAGTGCTAAAACAGTATGGAAGCCCCCTGCTTTGTAGTTGAGATTTATTTTTATGTTGGGGATAAGTGTTAGCCAAGTACTTGCCTTCTTTTACCTTGAGAGATTACATGGGAGATTATCAAGTGTAGTTAGTTGGGGAATATCATTTGAATATCATTTGACATACAGTGATTGAGAGTTAAAATGTTTTCTCCCCCCCAAAAAATCCTTTTTTTTTCTTTTCTTGGAAATGTTAAAAATATTTTAATATTGTGCCTAAGTCACAAATTAGAAAAGGATCCTGTTTCAACTTTGATAAAGTACAGAATTTGGATTATGTGGTGTAGATACTGATTATCTTTATGGCACATGTTTTTTTTTCTTTGGAGCCACAAAAATAGATGGGAATTAATGGAGTTCCATTATTAGCTTTTTCCCCCCCTATGCTATTAATATAGAGATTGAGAAATACAGTTGTAAGGAAGGATCAACAGGAATTCATATCATTTGTTCTCCTTGAGCAATTTTCTCCCTTATATTTCTCCCTTACAAATGGCTGAACATTGTTTTTTCTCTGAAGCCTATGTTTTCTTTTGAATCTTTAAAGAACTACATATTTCCTGATCCATGCTTAAGTGGCATATACAATTGATCACCTATTCAAATGATACTAAAAATGAGGTTTCAAAAATGCATCCATTGCTGCATTCTGATGAAAATAGCATGTTAGAGCTCTAGAATGGCACTGGCGCAGCTGGGTCCAATATTGCTGATGGGTTTTGGAAGGAGAAACCAGCAAGCCAGGATTATTTATATTCCTCTTCCTCTTACCACCAGTTGTCACTTCATAGATCCCTTCTGTCTCTGCGTTGTCTCTTATCTTGGCAAAGAAAGAGACCGGCCGAACTTGCTTATTTCTGTGAGTTGACTAAGAATAAAATGGGAGTTCAACAAACTCGGGACTTAATTTTAGCTTTTCTTTCAGTACCAGTCCTGGTACCTACAGTTTGGGGCAATAATGCCAGAATTATAGAGTTGAAAAGGTAGATATTAATATTCGGCTGATAAAGTTGGATTGCTGAGGTTATTTTTTGTGGCCTGATGGAAATATAACTATGATGTGATGAATATAGAAACATAGGGAGGTCATGTAGTCCAACACCCTGCTCAAGGCAGGAAACCTTGGTGAAATGGTTGTCCAGTCTATTTCTGAAAGATCCCAATGATGGAGCCCCCACAAGTCCAAGAGGCAAACTATGCCATTAATTATTCTCACTGTCAGAAAAATTTCTTCTTTTTCTAGGTTGGATTCTTTATAGGCACCATTAGGGCATGAAGCATGAAGATGGCAGGCTATTTCCCAGCTTAGACTTATTGAACTGAAGGGACATTGGACAACAATATCACATTTGTATCCCCTATCCATTAAAGTAAAAAAGCTAAAGGAATCCCTGCGGATTATATTCTGCTAGTTGTTGCTAACTGCTCATCTCCATTTCAAGGCCATTGAGCCAGCATTGTCTGAAGACATTTCCACAGTCAAGTGGCCAGCATGACAGTCACACAAAGCTGTTACCTACCAAAGTCGTACCTACTGGTATTTATCTACTCACATTTGCATGCTTTCGAATTGGTAAGAGCTGGGGTGAGGACAGGAGTTCACCTTGTCACATGGCGCTCAGATCTCAAGCCAGGGCTGCCGGTTTTCAACTGACAAGCCCAGTGTCTTAACCGCAGAGTAACCGTACTGCTTTCTATTCATTAACCAGAAGAAGAATTCCATTTGCTTTTCCTTCTTTTGGTCCCAAAGTGTCTTAAGCTATCTCTGCTTCTGTTTGAAATAAAAACCTCGACCAATTTCTTTTTCTTTTTTAATATTAGGCCCAACAAAGACTGGACCAAAGCCATGTGTTCCTGCCAGCAGACAGTTCCACTAGGATTTTAAGGCCATCATTTACCTGGCTTCAGTGCTTGAGGCAGAGGTGATTGTGCATCATTCCTGTTCCCCACTGTGGGGAAGGGGAGAGTATTAGCAGATTATGGATCCTCTGACCCGCCCAAGTGGAGATATTATGCGGCGGAATCCCCAGCAAGACTACGAGCTCATCCAGAGGGTGGGGAGTGGCACCTATGGAGATGTCTATAAGGTAAGGGTTCCTGCTTCTTTCTTTTCTGAAAATAGCTTGAACTGGTTCATGGAACTTGAAAGATGATGCACCATTGGTTATTAGATGGATTTGCATGGATTGCATCCAGCCTTAATTGAATTATTTTGGAATAAAATCAAATCAGAATAGAGTTGGAAGGGACCTTGGAGGTCTTCTAGTCCTCTTGATTTAGTACAGTGTAGTGTGTGAACTAGCCATTATTGTGTGGAAGCCAAACTCATCCATGCTCATCTATAAAACTTGCAGCATCCCTGAACCTGGAAGAATGCACACGGTATACTTTTTGCATTAAAAAGCAAAATATCTTTCATCATAGCAACCATGATTGACTGACTTTATATTTGCCTTTTGTTTCTAGCCTCCATCCTTTGTGAATTCATCTGGACTTTTGATTTGATTATATATGATACTGCATTGCTTTATATTTAAATACGTTTAAAATATTTAAAAACAATTATTTTATGTCCTGAGGGAAAATGGATTTTTGAAGTGGCCAATTTCGAATATCATAAAGAAGCAGCAGTGGAGGAGAAAAGAGAATAGATAACATGCATGAGACAAGTAGTTTCTTTCATTGAGATTTATATTGGGGTAGTTCATACCGGATTTTGCTCCACGCAGACTAGTGAACAAAACAATTTTGATTTTTCATTTGGTCTAATTATTAACCTCTTTCAGTTGTATTGCAGATATATTTAGCCTGGCTGGCATAAATAAATATACACTGTGTGTATATCATCCAGAAAATTAAAAAAAATCCTAGATTTTGGCTGAACTCCAAGATCAAGGGTCTTCAAACTTGGCAAGTTTAAGACTTGTGGACTTCAGCTCCCAGAATTCCTGAGCTAACATGACTGGAGGAGGAATTCTGGGAGTTGAAGTCCACAAGTCTTAAAGCTGTCAAGTTTGAAAGATCCCTGTCCTAGATTGTCCATGATATAACACAGTCTCGCTAGCACTATATATGACTTTAGAGAACTTCAGACAATTTATGGTTGGTAAAAAGTATTTCAGAAGCAGCAGGAGAAACCCCTCTTGAAGAATATATGTACTTTGATTGTGTTTATGTTGATATTAGAACATAACTTAAGAATATTGATCAATACTCAAGATTCTTTTAATTAGTAATCTTATTATTTTGCTTGTACATTACTTCTATTGATATCCAGCTGAGCTGTGAAATCTTCTAGTGCAATTTTTGTGTAAAGCTCACAGTATAACTGGAATACCCCACAATAACATATTCTAATTCCTCTGACATTCCATAGGTTTTTTTAAAAAAAAATCGTCCTACCAGTCAGTTTTGTAGAAACAGTGAAGTGATTCAACATTTATAGTTCTGTTTAAATGCCCTTAACTTTAGTGATTCAATAAATATTCTATTCAGTTCTGTTTGGATTGAATACCTCTTTAACTACTGTGGAATTCCATGTTCCCAAAAATAAAACTTTTGAATTTTCTTGTCATTAGTGCCTGTTTATAATTAATTCACATTTCATTTTAAAAGCAGATTTCTGTACTAACAGTACATAACGACATTTATTTGAAATATTTATAATCTGCTTTTAGAGGCATTTTTCTCAATACATGGTTTTAAAAAAATATTTAAAAATAAAAAGTATTAAAAATATTAAACGCTAGAAAAGTTAAACCTGCCTTCAATACTAAAAATCATGATTCCACTTGGAACTCTGACCGACATTGAAGTTAGTGTTGATTCTTAATGATCACATAGATAGAACTTGTTTAGGATATTTTGAGGAAATTTTTTAAAGAATAAATGGATTTGCCCTTTAGGGTTATGTTCAAAGCTGATAATGATGGGGTATCCATGGTGTAAGGCAAGGGCCTTACTTCTGGTAAGTTTAACACTTGTGGACTTCAACTCCCAGAATTCCTGAGCTAACATGACTGGAGGAGAAATTGTGGGAGTTGAAGTCCACAAGTCTTAAAGCTGTCAAGTTTGAAAACCCCTGGTGTAAGGCATTCATCCCTTGGTGAATCCAGGAAGTGATGCATTCTACGGTATAAGTGTCCTCCTCAGGTGAGGAAAAGAAAGAAGGCTCTGGCTATAAAGAACAGGTAGATCGATACAAGTGAAACTATCTGGAACCAAAAGTTTAAAACTTTAAAATTAGGAAACAGCATTTTGAACTGGACTTGAAAATAATAGTGTAACATATTAGTTGCATTTCTGAACAGCTTGCCCTTGCCAGTGCTCAGTCTTTAAAGATTGCCCTAGGTACCACATTACAGAGCTTAATTTGGATGTCAGTACTTCATAGAATAGGAGAGCATGTTTTAAACATTCTTGAAACAAAAATTGGGGAAAAGAGGGTGCAGCTAGTGAAATGACAATTCAGAACTTCCTCAGTGGAAGCCTGAGCAGGATCCTTGCCTGAATCTTAAAAGATACTTGGTGTGAAAGTCATTTCTGAATACATGTTGCACTATGTATTGCATTAGCATTGGAAGTGAAAGAACTTGCAGATATACAATATGCTGTATTACATATGAACAGTAATGTGGGAATGAGACTTTGGTGTTTGATGTAACCTGCTTCATAAGAGGCCAGAGGGTCAGAGTATCACAATGTTTTTATTTTATTTAGATAATGTGTGTAATTGTGATTTTTGTGGCAAACGGCTGTGCCTTTACTATTTCACATTTGCCCTGGATACTTTTTAAGCTGTCTGATGTTTGCTATTATTGTTTTATTAGGATTTATTTAATTGATGTTGTATAAATATTTACTATTTAGTCAGTATTGCAAATACAAGTACAATATGCTGATTTTTTTTAGCAAAAAGGGAGAAGAAGCACAGACAGAAATTTGTATGGCAAGCAAAATAACTCAAAAAGATTTGATGAGATTATTCAAAAATCCTGTTTTTCCCCGTTTTTCGAAAAAGATTAACTCAAAACATAGACCAACAATAGATCTCAACTGCAAATCATATTCTATTTGTTTCAAGTGAATAGATTTTTTTTTGTTTTGCATTAAAGGCTCCTACTTCTTATTATTCTGAGTGGCTGTAGAGGTTGTTTAAGTTTAACTCAGGGTTCCTATAATTTATAAACATAAAGAAGGGATTTTAAAATATGTTTTTCATCCAAATAAATATTTGGTATGAAATCCTGTCTTATTCCTCTGGTGAACTTTAGCATAATAAATACAATACTCACAAAAATACAGAGACTTAATACTATGTATATTCCTGAGTCTCTTCAACTGGGTGAAGCTTTATATGTTTGTCTCTAAAGGGAACATAGCATTTATATGGCCTGATTAAAAAGTACACTATCCCTAAATTAATTGCTTTCAGGAAGCGAAATCAGATAAAGACAGATGTAGAATTTGTGACATATTTGAATGTTCATAATTCAGTGTAATAGTTGCTTCTTCTGATTTTCTGTCTTAGACCATTTGTGTGGTTCTAATTAATGCTGTGCAATTGTAATAATATTGCAAAGACTCTATGGGTCTCATAATACAAATGGAAAACTCTGTATTAGACTGAGTCAAGATACTGAGGCCCTTGGTTAGGTTCTCAGGTACATTGCAAAACAATGCAGGAAGTCTTTTGAAGAGTAGAATTTAAAAAAGCTAAAATAAGCAAATGCAGATAAGGTTGTCTGTTTGTTTTGGGGGTTTTTTGTTGTTGTTGCTGCCTTCAACTAAAGAGAATAGAGAAATAGCTGAAGGCCAAAAAGGCCTCTGCTTGAATCTCCTCTTCACTCTGAATTCATCTGGTAGCCTTGAAACCAGTTGCTGCTGGTGTGCTGCAGTGTTTCTCTTGCTATATCTGCAATATGGATATACAGGTAATCATTGCTTAGTGATGATAATTGGAACCAACAATTCCATGCTAAGTGATATTGTAAAGCTTGTGACCATGCTGATTTATCATGGCAGTTGTGGCAGTTGCTGCTACTATTGTTAACTTAGAATCCTGTGTGGTATCACATGATTGCTGACCACCTGCTGGCTTCCCAATTGACTTTGCAGAAGCTGGCAATGAAAGTTGCAAAGATCACATGACTTCACGATATTGCAACCATCATAATTGTCAGCTGTTTGCCAAGCACCCAAATTGTGATCATATGAGCATGGGGACACTATGACACCTACACTACACAGATTGTTCACATCTCATTATTTGGTACCATCATAACTTTGGACAGATGTTAAATTGGTGATCATTGAATGAGGACTACCCGTAAGAGCTGTGATCTGCTTTATAATGCCATTCTAAGCTTGCCTGAAAATACTCAAAATGTCACCATTACATATAGGGTGTATATATTTATCTGAGAGACCTGTTCATCAAAGACCTCACATCATATGTAAGTATATTTGAGGCGTGGTGTGGTTATGGGCTAAAGAGATCCAAATTCCTTCCTCCATGCAGAAGTCATAATGGACTATTCATGCACTGTGTTTCTAAAGAATCAGGCTGAGATTTTGAAAGTTAATGTAAATTGGTTTGTCATGCTGTCTGCTTGTGTGAAGGTTTGAAAGGAACTAGTCTCTGTTAATGAGAAAGCCTTCCAGATGCTTTTTATGAATAGATTTAACCACATACATATTTTGGAGGAGTTGTCCCAGCATTCTTTTTAATCCACTGAGTATTGAATTGGAAGGAATGAAAGGTGACCTGGGTCTGATTTAGGGATTGGCTCCTATTCAAGTGCTGCAGAGGGGATGGGGGTGGAGAAAAGAAACATATTCATTTTTAGTTGTCTAAATCTTGCACATTTATCAAACCTATCAAGACGTCAATGGTGTCGCTTATGAGGTTTTGTGAGAGCTCATACAGGAATGTAGGGGTTTTGCAGTGTTCTTGCTATATTAATTTAATATATTCACATGTTTTTTTTTAAATGTAGGTTGAGCAATTCAGAGCACCCAGCCTATTGAGGCAAAGGGTAACAATTTGGAGGGCGCAGGATTTGTCCATGGAAAAATCATCTAACTC